ACGACGACGACGACGACGACGACGATGATGAGAACGACAACGATAACGACAACGATAATCACGATGACGGCGACGACGAAGACGACGACGAGGAACCGGCATTTTTCGCCGGCGCAGAGTCCTCATCCGAGTTTGGAGACGTCGACGAGGGTGAGGCTGAGCTCGAGCGCCTCCTCGCACTTGCCGAGGGCGGCGATCCTGAGTCCGACGAAGATGGCACTGCCGAAGACGACGATGACGAACCGCAGAGCTTTTCGCGCATCCCGCCGCACGAGCTGCACAGGGTTCTCAACGTGCCAGATGACCCCTCCAACCCAGCCATCACCAAGAACGGCGCGCCCAAGGCTGGTCTCAAGAACGGTGCTCAACCGGAACGTTTCACCATTCTGCCCGGCTGTCCGCCCCCCATCGAGGTTTTCCTCAAGCCAGGTCAGATGCTCTACCTACCCGCCAGCTGGTACCACGAGGTCACCTCCTCCTCATCTTCTCCCGCCCACGAACGCGTTGCAGCCACGAACAGCACAGCAGAGCAGAGCAAAGTCCACATGGCGCTCAACTATTGGTTCCATCCGCCCGACGCTCTCAAGTTCGAGCCCGTCGAACCGAGGCTTGCCCAGGGCCGCGCTTCAGACGAAGCCGTCGTACCCGGTCTCGGCGTGGCGCTCGGCGAAAGCGCCTTGGAAAACAGAGGCAGTGGCACCGGCACCCACGAGAGACCCTACCGCGATGCAGAGGTCTGGGATGAGGTCGCCCGCGCCGTCGAGCAGCAGGTCAAAGTCGCCCGCGATCGAGCCAGGTGACGCCGTCCCCCCTCGAGCCTGCACATCATGCATCGCGCACACGTACGAGCCACGCATCGTGCATTTTCAAACTCATCACCACCATCACATCCGAGCACAGTCACGCAGTGTGAGTCCGATCAGTGTACAATGACATTGAGCATCAGAACCCACTCTCTTCAAACGCCACCAGATTCTGCCCCAGCGTGCCGTCGAACAGCTTCCACACATCGGGCATCGATTCGAGCGCAGGCAGGATGTGCGCAAGCTGCTGCTGGGGCATATTGAGATTCATGCCTGGGATGTTGCCCTGCATCCCGTTTTCCAGCGACGCATCCGGCTGATTGGTCGGCCAAGTCGGCATGGGCGAACTAAAGTCTCCGGTGACAGGCAAATCCAATCGTCTTGCTGGTCCTCGACCATCCTCACCATTGGTGGTGCGGTGGCCGTTGAGAGCGCTGAATGGATCGTTGATGCCGCCGGGACTCGCGTACGACATGAACATGCTCGAGAGCGAGTTGGTTGCATCGCTCGGATGGAACGACGCATTCTTGCCCGCGCGACTCGTCGAGTTGCCCGCCAGAGGATTAAAGTTGCTCGAGCCGTAGCCGAAGGAGGCAGCCGGAAGTAGGCCGCCCCGCTCCGCATCGGGTGAGGTGCCTTCGGCTAGTGCTGAAGACACATCAGAGCGCACAGAAGCGTGGTTGAAATGCGAAAACCAACTGGCTTCCAAAGCCTTTTCTGTGCGCGCATGTGCAAGCGCAGGGTTCACAGCGTGCTCCTGTGGTGACCTTGCACTCGAAGGCATATCGGTGCGCGATTCGGCATCGGGCATCTGTGGCGAGTCACCTTCGCCTTCCGGCAGCCGAATGCGCTTGAGCACCGAATCTACGCCGTCGGTCGCTTTGCGCTTCCTCGATTCCCTTGGTCGCTGATCGTAGCGCTCACCCTCCTCCAGCAGATCGGCGAGTAGCTGACATCCTCGACGAGCAATTGCGCTCTTGCGTGTGAAGCGGCCGAGCGCTTCGAGCGCGCGCTTGACCTCGTGCCGCCGCTTGGCGCGGTGCGGTGCATGCGACGCCGGTTTGAACATGTCCAAGGCCAAGATCGTCGCTGCCGCCACAGAGTGGTACGGAATGGTCCACAGTGCACCGCCGTGCACGCGCGACTGTAGATCGAGCTGCGGTCGATCGTCATCATCGGCGTTGAGGCCAAGGCCACGCTCGAGTTCGTGCAAGACCGCACGAGCCGTCTCGATCGAGGCAGAGTGAGACTGTTCTCGCTCGTGCTCCGAGACGTCACGAGAGAGAAAGGCTCGGTGCATCACGAGGATCTTGTGCTGTACCGAGATGAACAGGTAGTGCTGCAGCACGGTGGTAAAGCTCGGCAAACTTCCGTGGCTGCCTGGCCCCGATGCAGATCTGGTTGGATCGAGGCACGCTTTGAACCGGTCCGTCACGAACCGCAGCCTGGCTTCGTGATGACGGACCAGAGATAGCGATGGAACGCCTCGCGCCTTGTTGAGGTCTTCAAAGAAGTCGCAGACGATCTTGGCCACGTGGCAGGTGAAGCGTTGTTTTGATGCGACGGTCAGGACGTTGACCTCGCGGTTGATCAAGCGGCCCTCTTCGAGATCCTCGTCCGAGCAGTTGTGAGGCAGCGGTGTATCGTACTGGCCTTCGACGATTGAGAAGCAGCCGCTGAACGGAATGGCAAAGTAGTCCTGCTGGGTGAAAGCCCACCAGACGCGCTTGCCAACTTCGAGGTCGATGATGCGCTTCCTCCAAATGGCAAACTGCCGTGGCGATTCGTCGGGGAGCCGGCACGATCCGGAGTCGTCGCATTGGATGCCCGCACGCTTCAGGACCTGGCTACGCTGGGCCGCACATGCCTCCAGAAATCTTGCCGAACGACCGAGCGCATGTAGTCCCAAAGTTTGGCCGGTCTTGATGCCGATCGCTAGTAGAGACGTCAAAAGATCGCTGCCGCAGATGTTGTGTCCCGCCACGCAAAGAATGGCGATTGTCTGGCAGCAGTACGCCGAAGGCTTGACTAGGTAGTCGGCTAGTGAGAGCGACTCCATGGCAGCGTGCAGCATGATCGACGCAAGCTGCATCCTTTCCACCTCGGCGCCAACGCCGCAATGAGACCCCTCCTCTTCTGACATTTGGTGGACGGCGATGCTGCAAAGGACGTAGAAGAGGGAGAGCCATGCTGGATCGATGGCACGAAACCCCTCAAAGTCCGAGCCTTGTCCCTTGAGAGAGCCAGACACGGCGATGGCCAAGAAGGCCTCTACCTCACGTTCAAAGGTGGGAAAGTGTACGCAGCAGTGTTGCCATGCTCCAATCTCTTTGGCAATGCCCACGATGCCACGGATGGCAGAGGGTGATAGCTTGGCAGCTTTGATGCCGTCTGTGACGGGCTTGATGGCAGGTCTCGCGAGCAAATTGGCTGGTGGGAGCTCGTCGGGATGGGATCGTAGGAGCGCTTCGATCTGCGCGACCACAAAAGACGGCAGCCCTCGCCGGAGGTGCTTGAGCATGCGCAGTCCTGGATCGAGGTTGCCATCGGCGGCAAGCATTCGGCCATCTTTACCTGCCTGATGCGTGTGCACGATGCCAGAACTGCTGAACATCGGTCGCTGACTGGCATCTGCTGTTGTCTCTAGCGGATAAGGATGGCTTGCGTCCGCGTCGGTGTCCGAGGAGCTGGCGTCAAAGTCGAGATCGCGCCGCCTGTCCTTGCCAAGCGTGAGGAATTCGAGCGTGGTGGCGGCATCCGTCGAGGCGAGTTCGGCGTTTCGCTCTTGTGGCTCAGTAACTGGCATCCTTATGTTTGCTCCACGCGCGAGACTTGTCGCGCCTTCGGAGGGGTTTCGGGCGACACCATCGAGCTTGCCGCTTTGCGTGCTCGAAGCCGCAGGACGGTCTGAGCGGCGGAGGTCATTGGCGGTGCGATCAGAGTACATCGCAGCGTTCGGAGGGATCAGGTCCGATGCTGTCTCTTTCCAGGCATCGCGCCTCTCGCCGAGCGCAGATATGACGTCTTCAACGTCGTTGAGTCGAGCCTTGACGTCTTCGATGCTGTCGTCTTGTTTGGACTGGTACTCCAAGCGCCGCTCGATGCGATCCAGCTGCTGCTGCAGTCGGGACAGTCCTCGGAAGAGAGTATCGTCGAGTCCACCCAGCCTCGGCTCTGCTGGAGCACCCGCTCCGTTTGAGAAACGTCGGAGGGAGCCAGAGGGCAATGGGCTCTCTTCTGCTGGTCTGCCATCGTCGCTCTGCTCTTCGGGTGTCTTGAGGCCTCGTAGCGAAGACGGGCCGGCCGATTCGAGTGGCGAGCCCTCGAGACGACATTGCTCGGCCCTGCCTCGCTTGACGCAGGACTGGCACGGCACCTTTTTGTCGCACTTGATCTTTCGTCGTGCGCATTCGGTGCATGACCACGAAGGACGCTGACTCCGCTTGTAGGGTACAAGAACGGGCTTCGAGTCCTCGCCATTACGGTTCGGCGTGTCGGCCATCTTGGCCTCTTCCTACTCGGATGGAGAGCCTACGTAAGCCGCGCGGATCCGGGATCGATCTTGGTTGATGAAGGGAGCATGAGAGAGACTGAGCAGCGCAGCGCTACGCTCGGCTTGAGTCTCGCATGTGCCAGATGTCGCTCAGCTGGGTGAGAGAAGTTGGACAGAGTGGTGGTTGGATGCAACGAACCGTGTTGCGCACGAGCCCAGGGCGCATTGCAGCTCTTTGGAAGCCGACTGATGAGCATGATTTTCGACTTTTCGCTTATCTTTCCGCGCGTCTCGACGCGGCGGCCGGCTCTTCGCATGTTCCGGTGCAGCCGTGACGCTTATCGGCTCCATGGGTGTGGGGTAGCCAATCATCACGGATCTCGCAACCCGCAGACAGATCAGCTACACTCCCTTGAGCGCGCGCACCAGTGCTTCACTCACACGATGCATCAAGCTCTCTCATCCCCCGCAATAATGGATCAAAGGCACTGGAGAGAGCCGATGGCAACGTCGGCGATCGCCGTCCAGATCCTGCAAGTCGCCACGAGCTGGACACTCATCTTTCAGTGCATGCATGCTGCGCCGGCATGAGATACATGACTGCTACTCAGCCACGTGCCGCCCCATGCCGCGATGGCTTCCTGCATCTCTTAATCCTAGAGAAAAGCGACCTGGCTGCTCATTGATCACCAAATCATACAGACTTACATGAAAAATAATATCTAGGTGGGAAGACCGTGAGGATAGAAACCAATTCTCATGAAAGTTACGTGACCGCCCACCTGATTCGTGATTATTCAAAGTGAACAAGACAATCACTTTGGGTCAAAGGTGCCCCAGTCACACCCTCACGAGACCGCTTACCAAAATCATGACTGTTCACGAGCCTGATGATGTCTCGCATCAGAATAAAATTGCTATACGTAATGTGGATGGTTCATCAACGAGAAAGACCCATCTAAGAACCAAAATCATTAAAAATCGTCTGTTACAGTATAACTAGCTGCGCCCACAATACCCCTTGAAACAACTCTACTTGCCACTTTATGGACGCTTTATGGACTCGCCTTGCATGTCACAGCTCCACTTCATTTCTGTCTAGTCTCAGATGTGTGTTGTTGAATCTGTCATTTGTGTTTCGGGGTCTCGCTCTTGCAGGTCGTTCATGATTGACTTTCTGAGAGGAGACCAATTATTAACACACATCCAAAATAGGATGACGCGAAAAGCGTATACATCGTGCCCAGGCTTTAGCTCACGGTTCAGAGTCGGCTTTATCATTTGTACCTGACTCACTTCATAGCAGACGTCAAAAAAATATGATTTTGCAAAAAGGTAAACATTGTATGAAAAGTTTCCAGCCTACCTGAGATCCAGCCATGCATGAGGTATCTAAATTCTTATAATTGCAGCAGGCCACACAGCCGACCCGACTTTCATCGAGTACACGGCTTCATTATTCAAGCTGTCAGCTGCGCTCTAAACTTACTTTCTTGAGCACATTATTCCTTTGGTGCGTTTCTTTCAGCCATTTTATTTTCGAGAACGACGTTGTCATTGCAAACAACATCAACGCGCGAGCCTTCATGCTCTGGTCTCTTTGTCGGCGCGGCGGTGGAGCAGACGCGGCTTTGACTGTAGACAGGAGACTACGGGAATGGAGAGGTTGTGGGTAAAGGAGGACAAGGGCTTGAGCCTGGAGGGTTGCCTACAGGGTTGGGTGGGGCAAGCGCACATAACTAGACCCAGGTAACCTGGTTGCTATTGAGCAGTAGAATACATGCAACGGAGGTCCAGAGGCAACCTCCATAGGAATTCAGACTAGGAGTGGCAGCCTACGGCGGAGAGGACAGCCGTGTGCCTGCCCGCGCTTGTTGCCGCAGGCCAAGTGTTACTTTGGAAGG